AGCCCAAACAGGAGGTTGTTTGCAGCCCAGAGCCAATCTGGATTTGGCAGTGAAGAGGAAAAAGTCAAACCATCAACCATCCATCCAGCAATTACTTTGTTGAATGAGCTATCCTAGATCACTATGAATATTACACCATTTAAAATCCTTCAGAACTTTTCAATCATCACAAAATGTGTTCATAAATCAACCTCTCAACATAGAAATTTGAAGTCTGCATTACTGCACACCTGAACAAAGGAAAAGAGTAGATGTGTATTAACACAATTTCCTATGTTGTCTTCAGAATTTAAACACACTAAATATTCACTATGGACACAACAATAATTTGATACAATTAGAATACTTTTAAATATTACTGCCAGTTATAAGAACAGAATTTCATTACAAAAGCACATTATTATTCCATCACTCACTTTATGATACTTGTAGTTTGGGAATTGTCAGACTGGGACTTGCCCCGACTTCTACTGCTCATTGGGCCCAGATCCCGAAGACCCTGTTTCAACTGAGCAAAGCGTTCCTGAAGACGGCGATGAAGGGGCTGTACTCCAGGTGGTGCCAGCTGCCCATGCAGATACAACCCACTCTCCAGAACTTGGATCTACAAAAGTCACACTGGGATAAGTTTGGAAAATACTGCTATTTAAGAATTAAAATTCTGTTAAGCATAATATTTCTGATTTGAAGAAAGTTGACAGCATTTTTTTATATGGGCACTAAATTTCCACTAATGGAAAAATCCAATAAATAATTACAAAGAGAATCTACAGAGCCAGGAGATCTTATCAACCTGTATGGATTTGACAAAAGTCACTGCAAATTAAAGTGATGTCATATTAAACCACCACATGTCCACTTCAGTATAGGGACAGGACACTTGGATAAGGACTAAGAGAGAGAGATCAGCAAATTACATGTAGTTTCTAGAGCATTAAGGAATAAGCAAGAATGGATAAAGTCAAAAACAAGGACACGAGGTAACAAGGCATAAACACTAAAAGAAAAGTTGTTCAAATTAGTGATCCAGTGAAAGAAACCCACGCTAGGCATTTCTTATACAGCACAAAATATTAAGACGACAAATAAATAACCACTGAGGAGATCAAGGTCAAAGTGATGAAAACAAGTAAAGGAAGATATACACAAGAGATCAGGGAAGCGTAGACACAGACAAGAGGACCTCTTATGGAAGGACAGACAGAAATGAAGAAGGCTTGTGACAGAATGACTGACCCTGGAGGAAATTTCAACGAATTATCACAGTTATACTGAACACAGCATGAATGTGATCCCACTTATGCACCTGGTCCAGTATGAGAGTCTTGAGCCTGTAGACATGATCTGTAAACTCCGGGTGCTGTCTGCTGAACTCTTGTGTGAAGAAAGCTTGCTGGTACTTGGAGATGCCACCCATCACGTTTGCATCAATTATACCCTGCACCAAAACAGATAAACTACTGACTGGCATTATTGGTCATGATAACTCTAGCTGGGTGGGATGACACAGAAGAAATGAGGTAGCCAATTCAAATCCTGAACATAAACCTGCTATTCTGGTGTGGTTAATTTTAATCAGCTCCTCCATGAAAATTCAGGGTGTACCTTGAAATCGGCCAAAAAGCCATATCATTTCCAGTTCACCACATGCATTCATACTTGCATTTCATTCAGCACAAAATAACCTCTACCCACAGTAGACTGTTGTTAAAGCTATACCTCAGAAGTAAATAGTCACAAGTACAGTTTAGATCCTTTTCTACTGACATTACAAAAAATTCTTTAGAATGACATTTATCTGGTATTAATAATACAAGGCAATAACTAGCACTTTAAAATACCAAAATACACTTTTAATTGTCACTTGGAACATGCCAGCTCTATGTTTCTACTAAATACATGCATGGTTATATGAGTTATGTTTGTTTCTCTCAGATGTACACAAGTAGAAACCATCATGCTAGGGACAGTTTAAAATATGAGCAATGACCAAACAATGAGGTATTTACCTACAATATGGAGATATGACTGAAATACAAGAAACTGCAGGAGTGTATAGCAATGCAGTCTGTAATTACCTGCAATCTCATGCTGAAAGGATTGATGTTTCTCTTTCTGTCCAGAGTGTACTGGTTGAAAAGCTGCCGCAGTTCCTTGTTCACACTTTCCATTGTCTCACATGCAAACTGCACTGGTGCCACTTCCTTCTCACTCTTTTCTATCACTTCAAACCATCGCAAGATTCCAGGCAAGGAGCTAGATGTCACCAGCACTGTACGTTCTATCCAAAGGCTCTGTTCATGCAAGAAAATGGTTCAAAGAAAAACTTCCAGGAATAACTTATGACGCCTATTTGCCTTCAAATGCTACAGTCTATGAAGAAAGCCTAGTAAGAACTACAGATTAATAACCATAAATATAATGGTGTAAAGAATACCTTTGGAACTTTTATGTACTCTATAGAGTATTACCTTTCCAGTCTTCTTCACATACTGACATTAGAAAACTGTGTCAGTTGAGTTCTATTACATACAGATTTTACTGTTATAATATATCTTGCACCTAAGACAGAGGTCTGGACTTTCTAAATTGGACCTCAAGCAAAGAAGAATTCTGTAACCATCTCCATGGAAGTGTTTTCTTTTCAAGGAGCTCATAGTTTCACAGCTAATCAAGAAATTCCCCACCTGTATAACACAATGTTCAAAAGAGCCCACCACTTGACCCTGTCTTTGTCATACATATCCAGTCCAAAGTCTCATACCACAGTTATTTAAGATTAAGTGTCCCAAGTGGTCTTGTCCTTCAGGTTAACCAATTCAAATTTTTGATGCTTTTTTCATCTCCAAGTGTGCTGTTTACCTTGTCCATCTCATTTTCCTTCATTTGACCATCCTAAAAAAATTTGATAAAGCACACAAATCTGTGGTGTTACAGAAAAGAAGATTAAGTAACTAAACATTTTTCAGGAGAATAAGAAACAATGGTCATGAAATAATTACTTAACTCTGTATTTCACTGTCACTGAACTGAAGACATTGTGCTTTAATGACAAGACCTTCACAGTAATGACAATGCAATGTTCTAATTTTGACCAATTCCTGACACAACACTCTTTTCCACAACAACACAGAAATTGTGAAGCTCCTCAGTATGAAATATTCTCCATCCTCCAGTCACTTCTCTCTGAGGTAAGAAAGGTCCTTGCTGCTGTTTAATAGTTTGGCAAGGCGCAGTTGATAGTTTCGTGTTCTAGATCTTGACAATTGCCATGGCTGATGCATATCCAGTAACAACTTTTACACTTTCCTACTGTTTACTAAGACACCCTTATTTTCAACACTCACCTTGAACTCATTATCTTTGTCAACAGGTCCTTTGTGAACAGGACGGTCCAGCTGGAACCTTCGGACATCATTCACCTGGTAGAAGCTTGCAATCTTTTCTGGAATATCTGTGCCAGCTTCAACAAAGAGTGGATTATCCTCTGGTATCGGTTTCACATTGCAGATCTGGATATCTGAAGATCTATCTAAGGAAATTCACAACTCATTTCTTGCCTTGAGTCTACATCCACTCACCTTTTTTCATTTCAAGACAAAATACTTTTCAATCACACAACAAACTCACCTTCTGGTATTTAATATTTGCATGAAGATAACAGAAAGCCGTAAGCAGTTAGTTATATTATTTGAGTGTCAATTAATGGTAAGAGCATATTTATACTGATATTATGAAACACTGACATTAATTAGAGCACATAATACTGGTGGTTCTGAGCCAGACATCTTGTTCAACAAGAGTTATCATGTTCACCAGTCATGCCTGGTGCCATATCTAAAACAAAGCATAGCGCTTTTCATATGAAACAAACATATGTCCATCCACTCATCTGCATATTTAATTTTGAACACTACATAATTACTTTCAACGGAATGTAATACTTGGGGTGTTATATAAGAAGTAAGCAAGCAAGTTTTATTCAGACGTGAACTGGTCTCTTCATAACACATGATTTACATGGAACAGAAGTTCAGTGTTATTAAATTCAGCATAAAAATGGCTCATAATACAAAATGTAAGTTCATATTATAAAATACAAAGTCACTATAGTCTATCGTTTTTACTTAGAACATCTTTTCAATATGGGATAGTAGTTTATGCTTATGTAGTCTTTTATAACTGTAACGATAATGAGATTTTGTCAGCAAAAGACCTCAAAAGGAAAGATCACCTGCGAGACAACGGCACATGCAAAGCAAAAATAAAAATGGATCTTATAGAAACACATTTCAAGGTTATAAATTGGCTGAGAAAAGGGTCCAGTGATAGGCTTTGTGATGATTGATGTTACATAACCATTTGATCAACTCAAAAAATATCAGCTATTCAAGGAATATGATGCAGTATTAAAATACGCTCTACAAGCCAATAATAAATGGATAAAAAGTGCTGTCTGAAGTAAAGAAGGATACACTGTCCCTCTGAATTGATGATGGTGTCATCTGGTGGCGTGTTCTTCATAAGGATTTGTGCTGATGGAAACTCTGTCTGCAGCCGCTGAGTGAATGCACCAATTCGCTCATACTCCAGGCCTCGGTACACAAACAGTTTATTCTGTGGGTCATTAGATAGTCATTAGGGAAAGCTCTGAAAAAACAGAACATTCTGAGAAAACCAACTACAACATAAAACACAGTTTTAAAGGCCTTACAAAACATAAAGCTGCATCTCACCCTGACAAAAAGTGGAAAGCTGAGTCCATAAAATCCAACTCTAAAGTACTCTGGTTCAGGCCTCAACTGGGTCAGGATGTTGTCAAAGAACTTGGCCTGTGTCCGGAGTATTTGGCTTAATTTGGCATAGTCAAACAGACGGCGTTCATAAAGTTCTGCAAGCTCCTTGCAAAGGGGGATGCCTTTCTCCCAGCACTGAAAAAACATGACATTAAATTCTCAGCAATGACATCACTTCTTATTACTCTTGTCTGTAACATGCTAGTGGTTTTGTATCAGCTTGATCTATGAATTTTCACTTTTCCCACCACTGAATAAATTTTGTAAAACCAATGCAAAGATTTCTGAAACCTTCATATTCTGCTCATCATGTTCATAGTTCTGACATCCCATTCACCCACTGAGCAGACCTAAAGTTTAGTCTAGATTATAAGGAGGAAGCTGAAGCATTTACCAGCCCATTTATGTAACAAATTTATTAAAAAAAGATCTTGACATTGTAAATATTTACATCAGTGACAGTCATGTGAGGTACAACAGTCCTGGCAACATCAAAAACAATCTTCTGACATTTCCAGAAATGTTCAAGCCATTCTGACACCCTGGATGGTGACAGACACCTATCAATTAATTTGAAAACTGGAAACTCACTCAGAACTGACTTCAGGATAAACACAGTCCTGCTGCAAATATACCTGTACCATCATAATCTTGAATAATGATACAAAAATAATTTAATACTAAAATGTATACTACAGCATTAACTGACAGACATACAGTAGCAAATTCTGGTCTATAAATCACAGTGTGTTGAAATTAAATATTATTAAATCACTCCAACCATTATACCACAGTACAAAGTTATTTTAACATTAATAACAAAGATGACAATAATGTCATTATCACTGTTCCTGCATCTACTGCTGTTATTGTTGTTGTTGTCATCATCATCATTATTATTGTTATCATCATGATTATGCCACTACCATGCAAAACAGTTAAACATTTCCTTTATACTACTCTACATTTAATGCCTAGCCATGGACTACTATCCCAACCAAAGCATTTGCTGCTGGTAATGTACCAGATCTCATCATATCATTTCATGTGCTCCAGAAAAAACTAAAAGTTTGTGTATATTGTACTCTCTTAGTACATCAATGGGTTTTACATTCACCTTGCCACTATCAAAGTACTTGATGATTTGATGATACAACTGCTCCTTCCTCTGCCATTCCTGTTGTCCTGGATAGTGTGGGTCTGACACAAGAGTGCGGGCTGTCCAGCTCAGCTGATCAGCGTAAAGTTTCATGGTGAACCCTGCCTCAGTATAGTTTTCTGCTGGGAGGTGGAGGTCATGTAGCTTGTAGATATAGCGCAGATACATCTCCTTGCGGTTTATTTCATTTTTGTAAAAGTTCTGAAAGAAAGATGCTACATATTAAACAAAACACTGAATAACTGGCAAAGGAAAGGTTGTTAAGCTATAGTTGACAATTTTACTTTTCTGCAGAGGAATCACAACAGTTATAACATCAATTCAGATTACTTCCTAGTAATTATTATGATAAAATCATTAACTACACTGGTAAAAGTCTGAGGCCCTGCTGTGTAACATTTTGTAACATACTGACTTTTTACAGAGAGAAGCCCTTTTCCCCCTGCCAAACATCCATGCTGGGGGAGACCACCCCTTGATGGCTGTCCATGATTACTTATTTAATACATTATAAAATCATTACAATGAGATATCTTTTGAGGGGAAAAAAGCAGTAAATCTTATCACTGTTCCAACAGACTTAACATACTGCATATCAGATTTGAATACCCATGCTACAGAAATAACATGCAAATAATATCTTCATTCAGCACAAACCATATAACATGAAACTATTAGAAAATGTTCACAAAGGCATTTAGCAAACCTTGGAGAGTGCAATACCTTTCAGAATCAATCTCTTTATATATTCTACAAGTGATATCCTGGACCAGTAGACACCATACAGGAGACCAAGACACAGATGGGCAGAATGGTGACTGAATAATACTTTATGGATATAAGAAGTTATTATTTGAACAAAAACAATAAATAATTACTACAGAATCATTCAACAACAAAACAGTCAGCAAACACTGGCGAGGTATAACAACAGTATGTCTAACAGAATCAGCTTGATTGGCTCAATCTGTTCACTGACAGTGCAGACTATGATCATGTCAATATATACCAGCAAGTTAACGGTGCAGGACATGCGTTTGTCCCGGTTCTCATCACCCTGTATGACACTACGGTAGTCCAGTAGTCTCTCTAACAGTCTTGTAACAGAGCTGATAAATGCTGCCCCGCTTTCCTTCCAAGCTGGATCCTCTGATTGGACACGGTCCAATAGCCTGAAAACAGAAGTTAATTTTAATGGAACTACAAACAACTCTAAAATGGTAAAGTCAATTAACATTAGAAACTTTTTAAATTCTATGATTGCATTTTATCTGCGAGTATTAGCCAACCCTTTGAAGCCAAAGCTCATCTAAATAATAGCACAATGAAAAACAACACATCTACACTACAAAAATCAATTAGTTTTCGGAAATAATTGCAGTTTACTCTGAGAATCATATGAAAGCAACAATTACACTCTGTGGACAAAGTGCAGAGCTGACTGTTAAAACAAGGTAGTACATACAATTGCCATTGGCTTTACATGGTTAAAAAATGTGTGCATGAAGCTTCAGGCATGCATACAGCAATCATAGACTGAATTGTGTGAACAATGAAGAAAAAACATTTGATGCCATACGATAAATGGAATGACAAAGATATGAGTGCATTATTGCCATGAATAAGAAAGTTTTAAGTCCCTGTTAAAACTAAAAGATGGAGGAGAGAAAAGAGAGAACTTCAGTTCTGTTAGTAAGTATGAAAGTGTGCTACTCCAATATAAAAACTGATTACTCACACTGCACTCAAATGTTCCCTGGTTTGCAAGAAAAGATAAAAATATTACAAGTAAACTTATGTAAGTATGTCCATTTCTTAAGAACTTAAAATTAATTATACAGAAGTGAGTAGGCAGTCACGGGAACTCACATGGTATTGAAAAGTTGTCTGTACTCATCATCTCCTTTGTTTTCACTGATCAAGATGTCCAGCTTGTCTATCAATTCAGATTCAACTTGCTTGAAATTTCCATGGTACTTCTGTTCACACTCCATCATGTCAAAGAATATGTGGAGTGTGGCCTTACGAAGCTCAGACTCTGGAACCAGCGTGACTTCCAAAAATGGACCCACCATTGATGGGATGAAGTTGATTTTGTGTTCACCTGAAAAAAGAAACAAACAGAAACTTAAAATGGTTCACACTATGTAGTATTTTAGTCAATCCTCTTACAAAATCACCATTTGATTAGCAAAAGTTTTTATTCTTGTTCTTCTCCAGCTTGTAGTATACTCTTGAAGCAGACGTACTCTCATAATTAGACACCTGTATGTTCATGCAGCATATAATCAATCACTTTCAGTGTGTATACCCCTGATGAAAAGACCGGTGGGCCAAAACATGTTGGGAAAATACATTGCTAATATACTTAGTTATATTGTGATGTTTTTTTTTTCTTCAAGTAACACTATAAGATCTGAACCTACACAATTGTGTACTGAAGTTCAAAAGGAAGACCTATCACTCCAATGTGCAGAAACATTCACTGATACAAGAAGTACAACCTTCATTTATTAGTGTGTGCTTTGTGCTTTATAGCAGTCAAAACAAAATAAGGTTTTATATATATATAAAAAGATCCAGAGGCTACATACCAAGGTTGGACCACATGGACAGAATCTGGAATCCCATTAGAACCCTCATGTCACCATATTTTTCAATGATCTTCTCTCGCTTCACCTCGCTAAATTTCTCCAACTGCAAGGATGGCTGTGTCAGGAATGCTACAGCCAGGTTGAAGTAGTTACCCCACAGCTGAAATTACAATAGTATATATATCTGAGAATGTAAACATTTTACAAATAACAAATGAACGGAATGTAACAGAAAAATAACAGGACTCTTCTTGTTGTACTTTACTACAAAGTTACTAAAAAATGTGAAAACATTTCACGTCCATTTTTACATGATTTAAACAAAACTGTGACACATTTCTTACATGTAACAGTACCACACTTGGAGCTTACATCAGCCAATAACTTCAAGCAGCACAAATTGTAATGCATATGCATAGTGTTTAAATGAACATAACATTCAATCTATATGGCATATATTAGTATTTTCAGTGTTACTATTACAACTTGTCTAAAAGTGCTTAAGAGAATACTATATTTTGAAACACTGTTGAATGTGTAAAAAAACCTGTTTTTCTTGCTGCCATAATGCTTAGAGAAGTATATAACCTTTTATATTTTTTCAATTAATTTCCTCTTATTTTATTCTTATTAGAATTATTGATATCTGTCAAGAGAAAAGTGAACTACAGAAACATCATGAACAAACTATTATATATATAACATGACTTTTATATGAACAATTGCATTAACTATATACAGTTAAGTGAAGTCGGGCACTGTAGTATCAGGTGTTCAGTATGTCCATCTCTGATCCTTGATATTATTTCAGAAAGGAAATTAAAAATTAAAACAGTCAGTCCTTTTACGAAGACCATGTACAACCGTTAACATCTCATATTGCACAAAAAGTAGTTTCCTGTTCCCCAGGTGGTTAGGGTCTTGAGTCACATAAGCAGGAAACTAACTTCTGAAATGATTTGAGTTAAATATAAAATTAATTGATTACAGTTTTACTGCTCTTTTAAAATAAAAATATTATACTAAAACCTTGTTACAAAAATGTGCGCTAAAGCAGAATTGGAAGTAACATATTTTAGTGATCATAATGTACCTGACTGTCAAAGTGACATCGTGAATCTAAGAAGTTAAAGACGAGAGGTTGTGCCAGTTCCTGCAGAGCATTCAATATGACGTTGTTAGCAACCATTTTTATGACAAGCCAATCTGGAGGGAACACCTCTTGTTTCACCAGATCTCGAAATACCAAGAAGACTCGCAGGAGGAAGTCTTTCTTGGGTTTGCGATCTGCAAGCTCTTCCCACAAGCGTTTATAGTGGAACTCATCTAGCAGTTGGAGCAGACCAATTAAACATGCCACCAAACAGCCCTAGAAACAGTTCATGTCTCAGCATTATAACTGTACTAGGTATCAGTTAGTATCATAGGTCTTGTATTCTCCACCTAATATTGTTACAGATCTTACCAGAACAGCAGATGAACGATCTATAATGATGAGGACAGTCTGTATGAGCATGTCCAATGTTGTGAGACACAGAATCTCCACATCATGATGCAGGCAGTTGTTCACCTGAAACATAACATGACATCTAAATTGCAAACTTTCTAAAGGTCTGCAGAAATGATTCATTTGTTGCACACTGTCAATTTTCTGACATACTAACATAAAAACTTTCTACTATATTCATGTAAATGGTCTCTTATTAAACAGATATAAAATATGTTAAAACTTTTGTTTGTAAGATTAAATTTGGAACTTCTTTAACAGGAGACAAGTAACTACAATACACCCCAAGGTAAGAAACAAAAATATAAAATTTGACTTTGTACATATAATGCCATTTAAAGTAATATACCATGTGACAATACACTCTATTATTAATGCTGAATATACTAGAGCTGCAACAGACAACGCATATGTGAAATGAGATGGCAATTATGAAATGATTTCTTACATAATACCTACAGAAATGACATTTTCTCCTCTCTGCACCCCAGTCCATGGGTTAACAAGCCAATGTAGATCACTGATTGGTTGTTAAATTTTCATATAATCTAACTGATGGGTTGTTAAACTTGCATATATTCTAATTTGAGTGGTTTTAAATCTATGGATTGTGAGCATGCCTTGCATGAGTTGCAAAGTTAAAGTAAGTAATTATATTGTGCCATATTTTTCAAAGCGAAAATAATAATTTTAGAAAAAACTAGTAACACCACTTTGCTCAATTGGTTATGTTTCTGTCAGTGAAAAATGGGTCATGTAGTAAATAAGTTTAAAAACCCACTTCTAACCTACTTTCCCTGCACTGTGAGTGACAGCCTTATGACAGACTTTGCTTCACATTCACCTCTACATTGCCTCACCTTCCCTTGCTCTTGTGTCTGTCGTTGCTTGAAGAGGAAGCTCAGGATTTCACCAAGTATCTCTGTGCACAGGCGCAGCTCATCACGGTGAGCTAAATGGACACGAAGATGCTTACAGCTTGTTGAGAGCAGCAGATTACGAGACTCTGTAACATAATGTTGGGTACACTGATTTATTATTATTACGACAATGTCTCTGTGGAACTGCAGCCATTAATGAAACTACTGTTCAACCCTCAGATGATAGAGTGAATATGAAGCAGCGGTGAAATGATACTAACACAAGAGAACTAAAGGAGAAAAGCCTGTCCCAGTGCCATTTTGTTCACCATAAATCCCACATATACTGCTCTGGGACTGAACTCCAGCTGCCTCTGTGGTAAGAAGGTGGTGACCAACTACCAGTGCAATCGCACAGTCAGAGTACATGTTTCATGAAACACTTCACATACTTTCTGTGACAATAAACTTGGCTGTATAATTTGTGTAAGGATTTATGAAAGTGTTCTATCCTGTAAAATATCATTCTGTACTTGACCTGTCTATAAAAGTGAATCATTTTCTCCAAAAGCTGGGTGGGCCATGCACAATATTAATTGTTAATTAAAGATAGTGCATCTTTTAACTAAACCCTTCCCGTATTTATTCACTCAATCATCATATCATGCCCATCATGTTTCTTTAGCACAGCACACCATCCCATCTGCCTTAATGTGCATGACTGTAATCTTTCTTATTAAACTTAAAAATCAAATATATTTAAATGTAAATAGATAAAAGAAATTACTCTTCCTATACAATACTTAGAACGTTTTTAAGATGAGTTTATGTGCCATCGACTATTTTAAAATAGTTTAAAATAATATGGTAGGGGTCACCATAAGCATAAAAGAACTACTCAAACATAATAAACCAAACTAAATAAATCTAAACCAAACCCAACCAAGTAGCACTGTGGGAAATAGTGGAAAATCCAAAATACATTCTGAAATTTGACTCAACATTTTCATATATTTATGCAGGTGTAACTTTATGCTCTATCTTCTAATTATGAGATATACATACCAGAGACAGAACAATTATGTGACTCACCATCATCAGTGAAGAGTTTACTTGTAACCAAGTTGCGAATGGCTGTCAGTTTTGCCTGGGTCAGCTGGGGCAGTAACTCCCTTGGCAAACTTTCCAGCATGACTGTTGCCAATTTGGTAATCTTCAAGATGGGTAACACATGAATCAGCTGTTCATACACAGCACTTATGCTGTGTAACAAGGCAACCTGTGAAACAGAAAAAAGTAACACTGCTTCATAACAATTAAAAATACTTCTATTACAACTATACATAAAAATGTAAAAACATGAAGAATGCTAATCCTACAATTTTCAAAACTTATTCAGCCTTTTCTAGTTTGTGTTGACTCAGCCTATCAGAATGCTGCATGATACTTAATAACTTAATATATCCAGCTGCTACCAGAAACCAATTGCATCCATCAACAATGCTTTCAGTTTCTTCCCTAATGTAATCATAAGAGATAATGTCTGCTTTCTGTGTCTTACAAACTTTCAAATACCTCAACCATAATGTGGGAATGAGTCTGAATACTTAAAAAGTTCTGGCAATGTAGCAAAAGGTTTACAAAAGGGCATCACAAAGAATGTGAAAATGGATATGCAAAGCATGTTGGTGGGGGGGGGGGGGGGGGATAATTCTGCCAGACAATTCAAACACATGCTGCAACAGAACCTTAAAACATGCCACAATAGCTCATAAAAAGTCATTAAATCAACCAAGAAATAAAATAAAAATAGTCTGTTATGTCAATATACCTGTGTTGGCAATATAACATCACTAGATGTGGCCAACATTTTGTTTAGTGCTGTAAACACACTATAGAGGTCCTTTTTGAAGCTGTCTTCATACTGGCCACCAGTCGCTCGAGAAAATAGGAGCCGAGACTGGATGATGAACTTAAAAATATACTCCAGTGAGCGAAAGCACTTCTGAATTGGCTCCTGCTTGTCGGTGGAACTAACCCACTCAGCACAATGCTGCACACTGCTCAACAGCCCTCTGGAAGCAAATAAGCTCACTATGTTCATGGTCAACACAAACTCCACATCCAGAGCCAGAGTGAGTATTCTTTGGAACTTATCCATTCATGTGACATTTGAGGTTTTCACAGTTATTACAAAAATTATTATGTTTTTCTGAGTTTCAGAGAAACACACTGTCTCCATCTTCAACTGAAGGCATCTGTTGGCTTCTACTGATCAGACAACACAGTGCCAAAACCCATAACATCAACATTATTCATTCATGTTTGCTTTAATCAGAATAAAGTGTGCAGTACAAATTCTTGCACACATACTTTCCTTCAGAGCAAAATCAAACACACTGTGTGATAGTACAACACTGTGCCTTCAGGCCATATCAAATCCTAGGTATTAAGATGCATCAACTGTAAAAACATAACCATAAAAACAGGTAGACTAAAGATTAATTGCAAAAATATTTTTGAACAGTGGAAAAACATCTTTAGGGAAGAACATTATAAAATATGTAATTCTTACACAGGTATCTGACTATCATGGAACCATGAGAAGAGTGACAAACAACTGTGTGTGTGTCTCAAGAGAACAAGAGAATAAAATATAAAGATGGCTGTCTTCTGGCTTGTAGCAATGTGTAGTCTGGTAGTTTACCAACGTCTCAGAGGTCTTTGCTGCCTAGATCATCAGGGCAATGACTATATGGTGCTACAACCCAAAAGACAGCCATCTTTGTACTCACTGCCATGAAAACCTCAAATCACACAGAATAAAATATTTTACTAGTAGTGTAGCAAACCCATTGAAATTCAACAGTGAATGATTTATTTCATATCTCCATTGCTCACAGTCTTTTCTCCTTTTGTAAATTTCACATGTATCTTTATCTTCTAACTCTCCTTTCTCCAGTATTCCCTTCCAGTCCTTTAATTTCTCTGTCCTATTATCATTCCTCTCCCATTTCTTCCTTTTATTTACCACTGCCATACTTCATCTCCTTCCCTTCAAGATATGCAATCAAAAGAGTACAATGAAAGATATCAAATGTGCTACATAAAACATTATTTGAGTGTTTTCATTAGGTCCTCACCTATCTAAATATTTCCTCTGTGAGCACAAAAAACAAAAATACATGAAACTGGTTTTTATATGATAGAGATATGTAATAGCTCTCATGGCAATGGATTTTTAAAATGAAACTACGTACACAGAGGATAACAAACTGTATAATCTTAAACAACAGAAAAAATGTTTTGAGAGACAAACAGAAACAAATGAACCATTCTCATGCAGATATCTAATAGTTATCAAGGAAATGAACTCCTTTTAAGTATCAAATATTGTAAGCTACTATAATGTAATAAAAGTTAACTCATTAACTTCACTAATAGAAAACTTTAAACATGAAAACTGAACATGTCTAATGTCAAATTGTGAATAAGATTTGAATACTGGCATGTGAAGTGTATCTAGGTGAACAATACTTTAAAAACTACATTTCACACGAAGAGAAACAATCTGTTATGATTATCAAATTACAGCCCAAGTATGTAACTTACTTATACACCAGAGCAGCAGCAAAGTGGCCTTTAATGTAGGCATCCATGACAGGCTTGAAATGCTCAAACTTGCTATCATCCAGGAGACTGAAAATACTGACCTGCAAGACAAACAGCCACAATGAAAAGATGGAGTAGAGACCTGAGCTATAATTAACCTTCTGGCAGCAAAACAATGCCAATAAATTCCGCTATTGGAAAAGGTTCTGAGATACTTTAATCTACCTCCCATCCTCATTCCAAAATTCTCTATAATCCATCTTAATTTTATCCTCCCATACTGTTCCCTGTCTTCCAAGGGCAAGGATTTCCAGAGGTTTACCCCACAAAATTATGAAATTCTTTTCTCCTCAGTCTGAGCTGTATGAACAATCCCTCATAATCTTCCATATTTCACTACCTAAACAATACTACATGGCTTTTACAAACCATGAAGTCCCTCATTACATGCAGTAATATCCTTCTTAGATACAAATAATTTTCCAGAAATTTACATTCTTCACTCAAAGTCTTTTAGTAAAACATCAAATGACATATACTGCAGTCTATATTGTGCATCTTAGCCACGTCTTCTAATCCTCTGCTGGAAGTTCAATACACTGGACACCTTGTGTTAAAAAACAGTGAGAGAAAAGTTTCAATTCTTCAAAATTTCTTGAATGACTCAGATCTCTGCACAGCCTTTTCTCTAAAGGCTGGTTACTCAGACTCTATCCCTTGGGTAAACGTGACTGGAGAATGTCAACTTGCATTTGTTTAATGAGCCTACCTCTGCATCTCCCATAGACCTTCTTGGCAAGGTAACTAGGCACAAAAACAACTTACATAAACATTAGAAACACCACCACACTCAACACTGTTGACATAGCACTCCACTGTCTAGGTGTTATTGAAGCCACAGAAGTTGGTTCTACTTCCCTCTTCAGGTAAAAGGAGGACAAATGCCTAATCTGTTGGGCTCCCTGCTTTAGCTAGTCTCAAACCTGACTTCATCGACAAAACATGCCACTTTATTAGTTATATAAGAGTAGCAATAGAGGATTTGTTAGTGCCGACTAAATCGATCCTTTGTATCTAGTTCGTGGAACACTTCGCACTGAAACATGCAACTAGTTGGTGGCAATACAGGTGATGACAAAAGGAAATACAAGACCTGTGTTTCAATTATAACAATTTAAATAGAGGAAATATAAAAACGATAAAGACTTATCAGAACATTATATACATGTATGGTCTTGGGACACTGGAATCAAAAGAATTCAATTACATGACATAAATCATCCTTTTTACAAAAACAAGAGGGTCAGCAGCATTTGACTGAATGACTTACTAATACATGGAAGACCAGTCCTGAGTGAGTTGTGGAGTTTCCATCTTCTGTAGAGAACATTGAGAACAGAGCATCCAACACATCCTGCAGAAACTTAACCAATTCTTCTCCATTAAGACGTAGCACACGATTCAATGCTTCTTGAATCATTTCTGGATGCTCCTTCCACTGCAGCAATGACAGCAAATCCACTGAGAAAAACATAAACCCAAAAATAAAACATAAAGCAGCAAACAAACTGATGGTTGAATGGTAAGCGACTTTGATGCAAAACATGAAAATTAGGTATGAGCCGGGATAGCTCAGTCAGTATAGTGACTAGCTACGGGCTGGACGACCGGGGTTCGATCCCCGACGGGGGCAGAGGATTTTTCCTCTAGCCTCTGTGTCCAGACCGGCTCTGGGGCCCACCCAGCCTCCTCTACAATGGGTACCGGGGTCCTTTCCCGGGGGTAAAGCCGGCCGGGGCGTGATGCTGACCACTCACCCCCATCTAGTGCCGGGGTCAAGGAAGAGAGGAGCTATACCTCCACTCCCCCCAAGCGCCTACATGGCGTATAGTGGGACAAACTTTACTTTACTTTACTTACATGAAAATTAGGTAACCATTTCAGAAATTAAAAGTCATAGTATAAAAGCTTTTGTCTGAATAACTAACTGCATGGTGCTAGGTTGCCATTTAGAAGTTGACTGCTAACCAGCTGGTAAAGAAATAAATTCATGAACACTCAGGCATTTATTCCCCTTGCAAGAGGGAGGGAGTGGACACAAATACCAAAAAGGGTGTTTATGGATGGACAGACAAGATTAAGATGGCTTAAGGTTAAAAATGTCCCTAGTTCTTAACCAAATACCATGCCTTCTAGATGTACTGGGGACTGGAGATCTCTCTCCATGCATTCTTAACCTCAGCACTAGATGGAAGTGAAAAGCTTCATAAGCCAGCTTAGGAAAGAGTCCTGGACATTCTGTTGAAAAGTAAACTGCTGCCCTGCTGGGAACTGAACCCTGATCATCCAGCCTAGTCAATAAACTAACTAAATAGTGATTGTGACACTTTAAAAAATATTCCAGAATGAAATGCTCATGTGAATTCAGAGTTGGAATGGCTTACCATTCTGGGTAAGTTTTGTTGAACAGAGGAGTGTGTGTACATAGACAGATTCTTTTGAACTCCGACTAAATGCTCCAGCAAGGGTGGATGCAGAAGAGATATGAACACTAGTATCCCTTGCGCTGCTTGGCAATTGGAGATAGGAACTAGATTCCAGCCTCACTCTGTCCTCACACTTGTAAATATAAAGCTCATGTGTTCCATCCCTTAGTGTTGCTCCTCCAGCCTCCATCAGCCGAGCAAACGAGAAGCCAAACAGCTTCTTGTTATCTGTTTTATCACGAGCTGAAACAAATAATTTCCCAGTAGTGGTCACATATAATAAATGTCATAAATGTCCATACAGTATCTCTTTAAGAATATACATATATAATTAATTATAAAAAAAAACTTCAACTTGTTATGAAGATATCTAAAAACCAAAACTGTTCATTTTGGTTTACAAGTAATACTTTCCTGATCTGAATACTGTTAAGTGTTAGTTAAATATCAGATTAGGAAAGTATTGTTTATAAACCAAAATTTTGAGGTATTTCATAATGAAAGTAACATATATGTGCCACACTGTTCCATGCCTGTCATATTTCACAGTAGTACTTACTTGAGCAATGCCTGTACTCCAAGCGAATGTGAGAGCCATAGAACTTGTCTATTGGAACAGCCAGTCTGATTGTTTCGGACCACCAAGGAGAGTTGTGATGGTACACAATCATTGACTGGTATTCATTAGTCCCATCCATGCCTGAAGCTCCCCACAGACAGTTCTGGAGGAGAAAAGTAGATGGTTACATATAAACATAAAGAGGTTAAATAGCGACAATACAGTAAATTCTATGTGGGATGTTAGCAGACTGAAGGAATATTCCACTGCAAGAGTAACTGCAGCCTTACTATAGCCTGCAACCAAGAAAGTCCTGGGCAGCTTTTCTGAGTGCTGTGGTACTACTATGGCATTTTATTTAAAGAAAGTGATGCCAAACATAGGTGCAATACCAAAGTTCAAAAATATCTAAGTTCCCCTTCCCCTCCTTCACTGTGTGCAGCATACTCATGCCTGTATGATGAGTTTTTCTTCTTAATTTTAAAAATTACCATAGAATGTTATTATATTAAGAAAATTATTGTTAATTCACACCATATCTACATATAAGTATATATGAAGATATCTGTCTTCTGGGTTGTTGCGGCGTTACGCTGAAGCCCCGGTGAGTAGGAGGGGGCGGTGGTGTGCACAGAAAGGTCCGGGCGCGAGCCCACCTGGAGCCGCCACTGGTGCAGATCTTGGTGGTAGTAGTGGTTTAGTCTGGTCAATGTTTACATCGACCAGACTATACAGCGCAACAACCCAAAAGACAGAAATCTTCATACTCACCACTGTGAAAACCTCAAATCTTACTAAGTATATACATGTTCTGTATGGAAATTTCAGCATTTATTTTAAAAGTGTCATGTTATTATTGTAATATTGACACAAGTTAACATTTTGAATGCTCACTAATAATAACCTACTCTTCACTGGAGTCTGCTAGACTTGCAAAAAATATATCTGAGGTTCTCACAGTGGTGATTACAAAGAAGGCCATCTTGCTGCCAGTAAGGACCCATGAAATGTTGGTAAAGTTATACCACACTACATAATACTATAACCCAGAAAACAGCTATCTTCACACTTCAATATGTTTGTAACAGATGGCAAACTAGCTACAATCTGCAGGTGACAGTATTGGTGTCCTAAAAAAACAAAATTATGTATGTTACAGATTAAAATGGCCATGTCATAACTTAGGCAGTCTGCTGGCTTCTCACTGTGGAGGCCCAGCTTCAATCTCAGGGCAGTCTCGATTTGTAGGTGGACAAAGTAATATTGGTTCAGATCTTTCTGAAGTATTTGAGTTTTCCCCTGCCAGTCATCAATCCCCCATTCCATACTTATCTATCACCAGACTCATTACCATCAGGAATGATGCAACAGGTCCATTTGTGACCACCAGTACCAACAGACTCAGTATAAGCATTCTAAATACAAAACTGGCGACTACAAAAACCAACAATATAACATGACTCAATCGTGAGCATATGGAAAAAATACTATACTGACCTCCAACACCTTTCCTTCTGAATCTAAAACTAGGATTGTCACTTCTATGTTCTTCCCAGTAGATTTTCCACCACGTTCAAACTCTCCTTTCTCCAAAGTCAGGTACAGATCATTCCTGAAAAATATATAACATAAAATAAAATGAGGAAATGAAATATATATGACTAAGCACGAAGCATTTGTTACACATGGATGACAAGAGGATTCCTTTAAGGGAATCAACAATTAAAATGATATGCAATACAAAATAGGGCAGCGTACATAAAAAGAGTGTCGAAAGAGGGATGATCCACCCTGGTAGTAACTTCAATGAATGATAGTTATGAAGAAAAAAAAATCTAAATTATACTAGCATAAAACTATTGTGGTACTAGAGAAACTGACCTTACATCACCAGGCATAATGACATCAGAGAAACCAAGTTTCTTTGTAAGGGAAATGTTCTTAAATATCAAAGGATTCTCCTCTCGGACCTGAAGCAGCTCTCCGTGAAGAACTTTCAGTGAGATGACAATACCTGAAACAAGTAATGAGGTCAGTTCTGATACACCCAAAGAGTGAGGATGTTCTGACTGCAGACATAACTCTATTGTATGCTCAAAGTAAATTCACTTTAAACAAAAGTCAAAGACAGTGATAGCATGCATACTTGTTCATATAAAAATAAAATTATAGGACAGCAGTTAAATGAGTATCTACTTAAGAATTTATTTTATTCTGGACATGAAGTATATAACTGAAAGATAATGTCTGTGTTAATTAACATGTTTTACTTGAAAACAACTCAATAGATTTAAATTTAATTTGGTATTTTATGATTTCTCAAAGTGGGACTGCCAACCCTACATTTCATTACCAATACTACAGATACATAAAATAAGGTTTCTTTCTTACGTGGTTTCAAGCTGAGAGATTTCTGCTCCACCTAACAAGATTAAGATAGTTAACATCTAAGGCTAGTGAGAGCACAAAGACTGGTCCTAGGAGCATAAGTAACTAATATTCAATGGTATTTTAACATTTATCATAAACAAACAGGGGATTTGAACCCCCAAATTATGGGACTGCCAGCTGGAATTTTGACTCCAAGGATAATGGTTCAGTGGTACGCTACTGCAATGCATGGCTAGCTGGACTGCACATTAGCCATGATGCATAGCCAATAAAGGTTAACTTTAAATTTATTATAGTGCTAAACCTAGCACAAATGCATGTTCAAAAGAATTAGAATTTCCACCCATCACTCGTCAGCTTATGTCAAGTTGCACTCACCATAATTTGGCTGCCCTGAGAGAGGATTATATTTGTTGCTCTGCTTTTTGATAATCAACTCATGAAGCTGATGGAAGTCTTTCTCCTCTCCTTGATAAACTTTAAATGTAAACTCTCGCTCATCATTAGAGCCCCCTGGAAGTAAGTCCTTGTTTAAAAGAATGTCATTAATGTTGAGTACTGCACATCCATGTGGCCGTTTAAACAGCTGATGCGCTGGAACTGAGTGACTGGATGAACCTGATGACTTCTTGGATGAGTCAGAATACAACATGCGGCCCATCCTCATCACGTGAGCCACCAGCCACATATCACAGGTGAGATCTGCATTACCTAGGTCCTGCAACATATTGTCTCAGTGGACACAGCAGCATATGTAAGTTCCCAAAAATTACACTCTCAAGCTATTATGAAGTACTGTTATAACCATGCTACAACAATTCATATCCCAAGTTAAGTAACATCCAGCTAGGTCATTATTGAGATGGGGAGACTGCTCATCATCATTCACAGTCATATCGAGGCTAAGCACCATTGAACTGGGCAAGGGTTGGGTTGGTGGCTGCTTTCCTGAGCTCTATAAAGTCTATATGTTGTTCTTTTATGCCACTCATCACATCATTTCCTAAAGATGTATTCTCTGTATTAAAGTAGCTGACTGCCTGAAAAGACTTCTAAGATGTGTAATAACATCCCCATAATTCTAAGAGGCAATAAGACCTTGAAATTATAAACTCCCCCTAAGTGGGATACTGAGAAGGACATGAGAAAATAATACTGAAATGGATCTTAAGTGTGGTAGACTGTAACAGTGGGAAATATATGGAGTGGAATTTATTCAATTGCAAGCTTTAATTTTGGTTGGTTGAACCTTCAGGTACTACTAGCAGAAACTTAGGCAAACATCAATAACTCTTATCATAACTTATTGCTTACTCAAGATAAATACTTAAAGATGACTTAATCCTTTTACTGTCAGGTTTCTCCCTAACCATGTGACCCTTCCAGGTTCAGGTTAAAAAAGTTATGGCTACATCACAATTACTATTTGTACTTCAGATTGTGTTTCTCTCAGGTTATAATAAAACGTTTGTTGGTCAAAACCAAACTTTATTAGATTCTGCTCTGTATTATGCAACACACTTAGATAAATATAAATTCAGAAAACTGCAGATGCACATGATGTACTAAGAAAAAAAATTAGGATGTTGTAGGCAAAAACTTTTAAAGTAGCAGATTAAAATGCTGCTAAAAGATGTCAAAATCAATTGCTGGATTTATTTTGCCAATGTGATGTAGAACATTTTTTAATTCAACAGCCAGTTGCATCATGAGACTAGGGAGATACCATGCACAGATATAGAAATATGTGCCAAGACAGTCAAAGAGATAAGAAAATAGAATACACTTTTTATATACAATCATATCTACACAAGTTACCACTGAACATAAGAGGTGAGTGAACTTACTGTAAAAATAGTACAGTTGCTGTGCAGCTTCTCAACATAGTTGGAGAAACCCTCCTTGGATATCCTGACTAGAAAACGTTCACTGTAACAGCATTATATTTATGGATAAGGATAATTTATATAGCTTGTAACAAATTAATATAAATGTGTAAATTTTGCCTGGATTTTTCCAGATAAAAAATATTAGTTTTATGTACATCGTACCACAAACAGATCATGAAACAAACTTTCCACCTACTGATTTTCTTTAAGTTAACAAAATACGTGTAACACATAGCATTCATCAATGGCTACAGCAAATTTTTAAAATATTTTTATGTACTTTGTACTTATTAAAATATATTCAAAAAATGTATTTAGGCATTTATATAAAGCGGCAGTCAGTGCAGTAAAAAACATCCAACAAAGTTTTATAGCTCATGTCTACAGCACCCACAATAAAAATGATGACATCAATATAAAGACACTGGTTGATCAATCACTATGAAACTCAGTGTAAACATCACACCATTGCATACCTAACTGGCTATTTTGGTATCTCACAAATCCCTTACCATAAACAGTACCAACAAAGTGGATGTGGAAACAACATGAGCCACTCCGTACACAAAATTTCTGGAATACGTCAGAGGTTATGAAAGGTCTATATGGGGACACATGTTTAGAAATTGTTCAGATTTTATCATGGTACTATTTTTGTAAAATTAAACAATGGGAAAACTTTAGCTTGAAGACAATAACTGATGAATTATGTAACATGTATGACTTATATGGTACAATGTTATTCGTTTTATTACTTATAATTTTTCCTCTTTAGACAGCCTTGTTGCTTTATATAATGCTTTAATTAGGTCAAAGCTTGAGTATGCCTCGGTCGTTTGGAATAATCTTACACAGACAGATTCTAATAAATTATAAAATATTCAAAGAAAATTTGCCAGTTTGTGCAATTATCGATTTTTCCAGTTTAATATCCCACGCAAATATGAATTGATCCTATCTACTTTAAATTTTAGAACACTTTATTCCAGACGACGACATCT